CTATTTCTCAATTCTTTCTTAATTGTGAAACATTTAATGATGGTAAGCACAGTCATTACCAATCAAATTTTTAGTATTTTCTATTTCAAAATTGCAGCTAAAATAAATAATAGAATATTGTCTATGGTATTTGTTTCACCTATATAATTAGGTTCCCAACTGCCCAACTTCACCCACAACCATACAAAGTATAATTTAACTTTTAAAAAGAAAATTTGAACATAGAAGCTCATTTTCTTAAAAACATTTGTTAATATATTTTTAAAATTAGGAAATTTGTAATGAGTAGTTAAATTTTTGTCCTATTGGTAAATATGACAACTTCTTTTAGATTTTGCTGACAAATTAATTATTTGAATTCTTATTTTTCGTATTTTTTATTATTCCAATTTTACCTAAGTTATAACCGCTTTATCTTATACAAAATTATAACGGATGTACCTAATATATCATTTATATTGTATGTTAGGTATATCGATTATAACTACTTTACTTCATATATCATTTATGACTGATATTCCTAGTATGTAGTATATAAAGGTATATAAATTAACTGATATACCTTATATGAAATATATCTCAAGGTATATTAGTGATATACCTTAATACACTTCATAGGAGGTGTATATTACTGATATACTTTATATGAAGTATATAAGTAATAAATGATATGTTAAGTGTACCAATTAACTGAATTGATGTACTTCATAGTAGGTATATCACATGGTCATTCATCCAACATTTTCATCGGGTTCTGATAGAGAGATTTTATGATCTTATCTAAAATCTCTAATTTTGAGTAACATTGCACTTTCAACCCAAAAGTTTCAAATCATTTTTTTTCATTTATCAGCATTCTTATCAGGTATATAAATGGTATATCAGCACGCAAGTATATCAATAATATATAAAATTAGGTCTGTCAATGATATATCAAATTATGTATTATCAACGGTATATCAACACTCATATATATCAGTAATTAAATAAGGTATATCAATGATACATCAGAGGCTCAATGGTATATTAACGGTATATTAGCACACATATATACCAATGATTAAATAAAAAAAATATTTGTCATATTTATTAATATTTAAATTTTGGCAAAATATTGGAAACCTATTTTTTGGTTTTTTAGTTATTATAATATTACTATTTCAAAATTTTAGATATATCAATGGTATATCAAATAAGTATATGAGCAATCATATAACGATATATCGTAATAATTGATTTACCATAGAATGTACTACATTCTAGGTATATCAATTATTACTGATGTACCTTATACGGAGTAAATCATTTATAATGATTGGATTGAGTGTTATTTGTGGGTAAATTAGATTTTTTTTTTTAATTATGCATGAGCTTGACCTCTAAAT